GGGATGAATGAGTCTCCCAGGGAAGAGGATGCACTCATTAGGGAAGGGTAGTGAAGCACATACCAAGCCATCAGATAAGTATAAGGCAATGGTATCCGGGGATTGGGAGTTTTGAAAGCCTTGTTGCCACCAGACTCCACCTCTATAACATCAATAAAATCCACGGCCAACTCACGCAGCCCGCTCTGCAAGCAACCTACCATGGCGTAAAGCAGGTTCAATGGCCTCCCGTGTGCTAAAAGAATAGCTGGGTAGATCACCTCAACAACGAGAGCATCAATTGGCCTGGTAGGAACGATGCACCACTTGAGCCACAACATCAAGAATCCAGCCAACAGTGCCGTATCTAAAATTGGAATCAGAGCTTAATAGTGGAAGCTTTCAAACTCTGTATGAGCCGGGAAAATATCTTCCTTGGCCTCGTTAGTATAATGGGAGGTAGCAGCGTCGATTCGGGCTTGAACCTCTTCCAGAGTGCTTGCAGCCAATCTGGTCACCAAAGCTCCTTTATTAGTCAGGTTCTGGAATAAATACTCCGCCCAAGACACTTGTTTGATACCGCCTCCACGAGCCCCCGTCTGCTGCATACAAATATGGAAGTGACACATGACTTCCCAAAGAGTGGAGTAAACTTCGAGGCTGGTCTTCTTTAAAATTTTAAGTTCTGTCGATCCCAGAACGAATTCTTCATATGGTAAATTCCTAAGAAGAAGACCTGAGACTTCATGCATTTCGTGAAGAGCAAAGCCTAACTCCCCCATCGGGGTGAAGAAAGTACAAGTTTCGGGATTGTACCTCTCTAATATAGAGAAGAAATGAAAATAGCTCTGGACGATGCCGAACTTAGTAGCCCATACCGGAATCTTCAGGCCAGCTCGAGTAAGAGATGCCTCTAATTCGTCCATAACAAAGTTGGTCATCCGGCTCCACCACCCTGTCACCGGAGAATGAACCCAACTAGAAGTTCTAAATCCTTGTGCGGGAAATTCTCCTTTCTTCGCCATAAACTTCTTAACAAAAGTATTTGTCGGGCTGGCCACTTCACCGACCGGGTATTCTTTGGAGAACAGGCCTGGCCGTAAAGCTGTCACCTGTCTGTTATAACCAACTGTGCGGACTCCTTGAAAAGTTAGAGTGCCAAGAACAACCCCAACTTGATCCTTGACAAGGTTCCAATCCATACGCCTTGGGATAGAAGCACATTGGAAATACGATAGGGGGAACATCCTCTCCATATTGGGCAAGAAAAGGTTGCGGTCTCCAACTTTCCACAGCCATTTGTAGTCCCCATCATAAGCAATACCTGCTTCAAAGTCAACAAAATCCCCAAAGAGGAATCCTGGTTTGACTATTGGTTTACGGCTCAGGCTCTCAAACTTAGCGTCCGTAACCAACATCCGAAGAGTTTCAGGAGAAGCCTAGGTGATCATTTCCACACGATCCTTCTCAGTAATCCTGAAAACCGGGAGTTCTTGGCGTAGATTAAATGTCATGTTTGGATCCACGCCACCTCTTCTCAGTAATCCTGAAAACCGGGAGTTCTTGGCGTAGATTAAATGTCATGTTTGGATCCACGCCACCTTCATGCCCAAAATGATGGACCGGGAGTTCTTGGCGTAGATTAAATGTCATGTTTGGATCCACGCCACCTTCATGCCCAAAATGATGGTGGAAAGGGAGAGGCTCGATGGTATGACACATTGCAAAACAAAGAAAAGAGTCAGACAATGCAAAGATAAATCAGACGCGGAGTTCGAACCTCGCGTCAAAAATCTTAGACGTAGAGATCGAGTCTCGCATCGAAAATCTTAGACGCGGAGCTCGAGTCTCACGTCGAAAATCTTTGACACGGAGTTCGAGCCTCACGTCGAAAATCTTAGATGCGGAGATCGAGTCTCACGTTGAAAATCTTAGACGCGGAGATCGAGCCTCACATCGAAAATCTTAGACGCGGAGATCGAGTCTCGTGTCGAAAATCTTAGACGCGGAGTTCGAACCCCGTGTCAAAAATACTAAACGACAGAGTCCAGCTCCGCGTTATTGAAATGAGTCTCCTCGTTGATTCAAAGATTAGAACTCGCCGTAGCGAGTTTTGACGACCATAAAAGTTATACCCATCACCGATTAAAGGGAGTTAAGGCGGCGGCACGCTCGCCTGAGCCATAGCACCATCGACCGACGCAGACGGCGACGACCTCTGAGCCGCAGCGACGGTAGACTTGGAGGGGCGAGTGACGGTCTTCTTCTTGGGTGCCATTGATTTTAGTCGAAGGAGAAGATGAATAGTTCTCGTCACAGATAAGAACGGAAGTTTTTGTTAAATTTTTAAGAAGAGTCGAATGACTATTGATTTGACCCCCAGTGGTCTATTTATAGACAGCTATGAGCTGTTAAATCGGAACGAGATTCTAGGCTAGAATCCCGCCCAAACTCGATCTTAGTATTTGAGTTGGTTGAACTTCCAAACGCGAGACTCACCCACGCGTTGAAACTCTTAAGCACAGAGTTCACCCATACGTTTGAAGTCTCAAGCGCGGAATTCACCCACGCATTCTAATTCTCAAGCGCGGATTTCACCCACGCGTTCCAATCACGCGGAATTCATCTATGCATTTGGACCGCTACAATAGCAGCATTTTGACAACTAAGGATACGATGCAGCTCCAAATAAATAAAAGAAGAGCTAACAACGGTCATCAAGGTGATCAAAGCCGAGAAGAAACAGACGACTCCGCTGTGGAGTCTATTAGATGAGTACAGACAGATTACAATCGGCAACGCTAAAACCGTCAAACACGATTCAGGGCACAACTCATTCTTCTGAGTGGCTTAATATTCCCACAAAGATTAATGAAGCAAGGAGCTGTACACAACTCATTCTTCTAAGTGGATATTCCCACTAAGATTAATGAAGCAAGGAGCTGCGCGCACCTCATTCTTCTAAGTGGCTTAACATCCCAACAAAGATTAATGAAGACAGGAATCGCGCGCAACTCATTCTTCTAAGTGCCTTAATATTCTCACAAAGATTAATGAAGACACGATTCGACGTGCACCTCATTCTTCTAAGTGTCTTAACATCCCAACAAATATTAATGAAGACAGGAATCGCGCGCAACTCATTCTTCTAAATTGCTTAAAATTCCCACCAAGATCAATGAAGCTGAAAGCTGCATTTCAAGTGTTCATCAATGCCTACAAGAATTCTTTGGATAAAAGAATACAACTCATCGCAGATAAAGTGGAGTATCTAAAGGATCCAGACGAAACCCGATGAATACACCTCATCGCAGATCGAGTGGAGTATCTTAAGGATCCAGACGAGATCCGATGAATACACCTCATCGCAGTTCGAGTGGAGTATCTTAAGGATCCAGACGAGATCCGATGAATACACCGCATCGCAGATCGAGTGGAGTATCTCAAGGATCCAGACGAGATCCGATGAATACACCTCATCGTAGATTGAGTAAAGTATTTCAAACACCTAAGCAAAATCATCAGCAATGACTTGGATTTTAGCTTGTTTGACTAAGTTCATTGTCATCAAGAGCCAAAAGTTACATTGTTTGGTTTGAAGAAACATGATTTCAACATTCTGACAACCAGGTTCACGATGTCTTCATATCAGACGGAGTGAACAATCAATGAACTAAATTTTAGGATCCAAAGTATTCCGAAAATTCGTCCCAGTCAATCACGAACTATCGAAAACTTTGGAGGGGGTTCTGTAGGCTGTCTAAAAATCATAATAGATAGCTGATCTCTATCAAGCTTCAATGATGAAAGTTACAATCAGATGACTTTCATGCCAACAAATGCAAGTGGCAAATGGAGGACTTTTTACATAGATCGAGAAGAGTTACAATGTAACTACACTTCCGACAACTGATGAAAACCCTATTCAATGGTCTTCACAATCAACAGTGAGAGTTACAATCTAACGACTTTCACACCCCACAACAGCTAAAGCGAGGATTACTGAACAATGGTCCTTGCAACGCTTTACGAAAGAGGTTACAAGTCAACTAATCCCTTATAAAATGCAGAATTCATCTTCGCGTTATAATTCTTAAAATGCAGGCGACCCCCACGTTTCCAAGCCGCAACAAGCAAAACGCGAGCGGCCCTCGCGTTTTTGACGTTCTGTGAAAACCCAACTCCGCGTCTCAAGTCTAAGACGTGAAGTTAGGATCCTGAACGCCAAATTGAGCGTTTGACTCATTCAAACACGAGTCGAATGGTTTCAGAACCGTTTTCCCCACGATCTTAGGAAATCACGCCCACTTAGGAGTGGATTTAGAGGGCAGTTACAACCTCTTATCCACCTATAAAACCTCAACAAACTCAACGGAGTAAGGGGTTGGATCTTTTAGCATCTAAACTGCACGTGGAGGCTCGGGATTGGGGATTTTCTCTGGAGATAGTAGAGGCAAATTCCTTGAAGATAGAGGATTGAATTTAGATTCAGAAGATCAAACCTGAGAGAATCTTTCAGCAACAGAAGATCTGCTTGGCTATTAACCGAATTTTTAGTTTTAACAACTCTTTTCACAGAGTTCTAACTCATTCTGAGTAATAAAAACTCGTTTAGAGTTATTCCTCAAACTTACCATAGAAGTTTATTGTTCCCACGAGATAAAAGAGGGTCGGATCGTCAACGGAGAGCAAATTCGACGCAGGCATTCGAAGGAGGTACTCCATCGCTACCATGAAGAACCCAGTTTTAAACAAATGGGAGAATCAAATTCATTCTCCTCTCTTTTGTAATCAGGAATTCCATTTGTAACTGAGATTAAAGGAATACAAATCAATTTTCCTTCATTTCTTTTACTGCAAATTTTCCAACAAACACTATGCTTAGGAAGCACTTTCATGATGTAGAGCAGCAGCGATCCGTGACCTTCTTCTTGAATCGAGAAAGATCCACGTTGCCATAGGACTTTACCAAAGGTACTGGATCAACTTGAACAGGAATGGAAGCGGGCGGGGACTCGGAAATGGCCGCGGGAGTTGAGGCAAGTGTCAACCAGGCTGAGCTGGCCTCTGGCATTGGAAGCTGGTCCAAGCTTGAGGTGCCTTGGTCAAAGTCACCATGCGCGGTCCACCCTTGACCGACGCCACCTCTGTTTGTGGGTCCGGCCTTGGCAACCACCCATTGGCTAGCTCAGCCTTGGTCGACCCACCCATCTGGCTGGTTCTGGCAGCTATGCTTGGCTAGCTTGTAATTTTTTGGTGTCTTGTCACTTGTTCGAGTCGCTGTTTTGAATTTTATCCTCCATTCTTGGATTGGTTTGGTGGTTTCTTGGCCACCTTGTCCTCTTTCATGTCTTGCGCCTTTCATGCTAAAGCATGCGCGCGGCGCTTCTGGATGTGCTCCTCGAGAGTGGAACAAGTCCTTTTGATATGGACCTATTCGCTAGCTGATGGCTTGGAGGAGGGGTCATTTGCTTGCTGTTGAGGCGCTTAGCACCCCCTGAAATTCAGATCTGCTTGATAACGGATCTCGTCAACTGGATTTAAGGCCTTGGCAAGCTGATGTGTGAGGCGTTGGTGTTGCCTCTGATGAGCCCTTTTGGAGAATTAGCGCGCCTTCGTTAAACAACTCCTGGACTGAATATGAGTTATTATGATCTGAAATCTCGGTTTCCTTGGATGCCGGAGGAGCGTTGCGAGGGGAAGCCTCAGCAATAATTAGGCGAGAGTCATCCTAAGCCTTCTTTGATGCCGATATCTTCCTTACTTGCAGGACAAAGAATATCTTGATGAGGATGAGGAGAGTATTCCTCGAACTTGGCATGGTCGAACTCGTACTCGATCTCTTCTTCAATCGGGAACTTGATCCATGGTTGCGGCATGACAGCCTCGACAGAGAGGCTGTTGGCTCCCACTGTGGTCGCCAACGTATTTAGGTTAAAGTTAGTTTATTTGTCGAATCCATTATAATTGTTTATCAATTATAAATTCAAAAGATTTAATCTTTTTATAAGATTACTTGCTTACACAAATAAAACAAAAATTACAACTCTCTTGAAACACAAGCAGAGGATATTTATCACCCGCTGCTTGTGTGTGATTTTTTCCTGTGTCGGGAACGTGTTAGTTTATGGACCGCCACAGATTAGATCCGGTTGATACGTTAGTCTATAGACCACCACAGATTAGATCCGATTGAAAGAATGAAAATTTAATGCTCTTGCTTTACAAAGGAAACAATCGCAGAAGAGATAATCTTGACCAAGCGAGATTACGACTCTTCTCGAGATCAAAACCAAGTTTGATCTGGAGGAAAGGGGAATGAGCCTCAGATCTTTAGAACTTTCCTTTTTATGCTGAAGAGCTTCGCCAAAATCTGCTAGCCTCTCTGAAATTCATGATTCACTCCTCAATTTGATAGCACCTCACCTAAAATTTCTGATCCCCTTCGTATAGGGCCTAGGCTTGTATTTATAGGCTTCGGATGTAGCATTTTTGGATAAGAATTAATGATTTGACCTTATCCTTAGTTAATAACTACTTAACCATGTTTAGGGATAGTTTCAAAATAGTTGGGACGCTCTGAAATGAACAAATCCTGAGAAAACCCGTCAAAAAATTCATTTTGGGCACTTCCGAGCGTGAGCCAACCCATGGTGGCTCGACACTATACGAGCCACCCTATGGTGGCTCGG